ATAAAACAACTAACATACTCCACCCCTTTATTGACTGTGTTAAAAGAATGTGTTAAGACATGATGGGGTTCTATGGCCCCTTACAACAACAAACAACAGAAACATTTTCCTTTAGCCTTTTCTTTTGCTGATCTATAAATAAATTTTAACTTGAGAATAACTTCTGAGAGTATGAGGTTAGTCATCCTCACTTCTGTGTGTAAAATTTCTGAAATCTTAACTGTGCCAAAATGATCAATTTTGACGAGAAGGAATCATTGAGTAATGAATATGTGTGCATCTACTACTTATGATGCCATTCTTCAGGCTTCCAGTTATTATTTGCGCATTACCATTAAGAGTGGTGAAATCAAGTAGCTGGTCTCACAGTAGTCCATGCACCATTATCACCATTAAGCCTATTCATATTTTCATTACGGCTTTCTTGCAAGTAGTTTAGTGCAGTCCATAACACACGAATGAGCAGGATACTTGAAAATACTGCATTCCCAAGTGAGCAAGCAACCTAATTTCAATTAAAAATGCACAGGAAAGTGAGTGTCAAAATACAGAGAAAATCCAGATACCAAATGACCTCAAATTCTGAAATAACAAATTCATTATTCTGAAAAGCTAAAATATTTTTATATCCTCCCAAAGGGGGAGAGAAGCAACTAAATCAAAAGTTTATTTAGCATGCCTTCCTAAAAGTCAACAAAAATCACTTATGTACACATAATCGTTGTTCAAGCACATTTGAGTAATTTCCATACTAGACATTTGCACAAGTAGACATGCATCGGGAAGTCGGGCCTGATAACCTAAGGACCAAGGCTGAAACTTTCCTGATGCTTAACTAATTGGGTTTTATGTTAAACTTTCAATCTCAGACTAAGTTTTAAACAAAGTGCAGCAAAGACTTCAAAGATAAAGCATCATCCTCTCTCATTAACTTCAAAGACCTGATTAAATTTTCTGGTTTGAGTTTATCTTTCTTATCAAACAGGCTCATTTTATTGATTGAAAACAACAGCAGAATCCCTCTTTAATCATTCTAGCCAAGATTATTGAATTATTAAACAATAAAAGATTCTAGCCAAGATTGGAGATGGACTTAATCTTTCAATGAACAGTTTGGTATGATTCGAAATTAATTAAAAATCTCAAAAAGAAAAAAAAAAAAATCAAAGACACCATGCTTCTCAGTTTGATTATCCTAATATATAAACACTTAACACCAAGTAGCTCAAAAATAATCGTTACACCAATGAAAAGCAGATAAAAAGGCTATTAATAAACACCATGGATTACCTCAAGAAATGCCTTGGCAAACCACAATAGTGCAAGTGTTAGGATTCCATTAACTGCAAAGTTCAACTACACAGAAAATATTGATCAAACTTATTAGCAAACAGTATTCTCCACAGCTTTATCAAGTGATCTAACATAAATATATACACACACACACACATATATATATATATAAATGAATCTCACTTAACCAAAATATCAAAAGAAAAGAAAAAAGAAAAAAGAAGGAATCTTTACCCAAATTTTAAAAAATGAATCAATTTAATCAAAATATTTAAAACTTCTAAAGGAGTTATTGCATCCTTACACCATCAAACAGAAAATCATTCGGTTCGGTCCATCAAAAACGACTAGCAAATAAGCAGGGTTCTAACAATAACATTTCCTCCAAATCCATTAATCAATCATCATTTTTGCGCACCAAGATCAAACATTTTCGAAACAAGTATATACAATTTATTTGATTTATGCAGTGTTAGGAACAACAAGAAATAAAAAAAATTTCCAAAACCCCAACAAGAACTAGACATCGAAAAATTGAATCTTGTAATAAGTTTATGAATTTAAATGAGATCATACCAGGTCAGTAGGGATTGAGATGGGCAAAATTGATCGTGCAATTTTTCTGACTCTCTTAGATATCTTTTTAAACGTGTTATGGAGGAACTTAATGAAGAGTTCCAAACTCCGCTCTTCATCTTCCTCATCATCCGCTTCATCGACAAATTGATCAGCTAGTGAAAAGCCCCAATAGCACGGACCATTTAGAACACCTCGGCGACCCTGTATAAAATGCAGAGCTTGGTTAAGAGCGAAAGAAATATATAATTGAATGAGAAGAAACAAAGAGATTGAAGGGAACAAGACCTTTCGCAGATTAGGGATTCTTCCTGATTTCTGAAATTCCAGGCGCTGAAATGAGTGGGACTGGAAGTGGCGGTGGAGGGGGACGAATTTGGGGTTAGTTAGGTGTGGCGGTTGGGTCCGACGAAAGGTGGAGGGGGAGGGAAGTGACAATCTGAAAGGGAGTGACATGGCGGCTACGAGTTTCGGACGGAGACCGGGAGACAGGGTGACACGGACAGGGAGCAACCCGATACGCTGGAGGAGTCGGACCGTTCGAGTTCAGTTAAGCACGTGACGCCCGACACCCCACACTGCTGATGGACTGTGAACCAATGGAGCTATGCCAT